CTTTTTCATACTCAGCGATTAATCTATCAATTTCTTCATAGACCATATTATCCTCTGACCCATCCAATAAATTTGAAATAGAACATTTTTTAAATGAATTAAAAATAATTTGATCTGAAATGGCATTCCAAGATCGTTTGACCCATCCACATATTTCACTTATCCTTGCTTTTTTTAAGTTACCCTCTTCAGTTACATCTGAACCACCTTTACACATCCATTCGTGCCATTCTTTTCGTAAATTATCTTTAAAAGGTTTGTTTATTAATACGTCTAATGGTTAACATACACTAGTTAATTCTTCAGGAATAATGGCTAATTGAAAATTATGTTGTTTAAATTTAACTTTAACACTTTCTTCTAAGTGACCACGAAAAGAATCATACAACATCACAGCAGGTTCTTTTGACAAATTTTCAGACATCCGAATTTTAAATAAAAAATTAATATAATTCTTCATTAAGTCTGAAGTCATCCAACCTTTATCTTGAAACTAACAAATAACACCTTTTGGAATAACTTCACCTCTTGGAAGTTATTTACCTTTAAAAATATATATTAGTGGATATTTTGTTCCATCTATAAATAAATACAATGAACTTATTAATTTGATATATAAAATAATTAAAGTAAATATAAAAAAATAAAAAAATAAAACTTCTTACCTGCAGAACAAGTTAGAACTATGGTAAAATGATTTTTATCATTTCCAGTAGTACGAATATGCACTGTTTTATCACCCTTATTATTAACAGTTATATTTCCTGCCATGTCAAATCACACAGGAGTTTCATCCATATTAAAAATACTATTCAAATCAAAATTATATAGTGTTCTCAGTCTTATAATATATCGTCTAAATTCATTTAATTTTTCTTCTAAATCCTCAGGCAATTTTTGAGAAATTTTGGTTCTTTTCCTTAATGACAATCCAAATCGTTTCATAAAAAAATTAATCCAAGAAAGATTCCCTTGAAATTCGTACTCTCCCGCTGAATATATTGCTTGAATTGAAGATTCTTTAAGAATTTTACACATTTGTAATTTTATGGAGATATAATTAACAGCAAACCTTTTTTTTCGCTGTTCTATTATCCAACTGTATAAAATCTTTTCTGCTTCAGGATAAAAGGCTTTTCTTCCTGGAGTTCCAGAACGTTTTTTCTTTTTATTTTCCTCTTCCTATTTAGAACTTTGTCTTATCCATCTTCCTACCATAGGTGCGTCTAAATTAAAATGCTTTGCTGCAGCATTTCTTCCATTTTCTTGGGTATACTTAACTACTATTAATTTTTCTTCAAGTGAATATGATGTACGTTGTTTTACACCCACTTTTTTATGCGTCATTTCTACTAGAAATATTGTTAAAACACGTGAAGAATTTTTGAAAGAAATAAGGGTAAGATGTACGTTGATGTACGTTAATTAAAAAAATTAATAGTAAAATCAAAATTAAGCACCATTACCAATTTTGTCTATCACATGACTGCAAAAAGGGAGTGCTTAAATTCAAGATTTTACAGTACAGTTAGACTTCTATGTACCAATATTCTATATACACAGGCAATCTCGATAAATCAGATCCTTGATAAATCGGATTTGGCACTATTTCAGATTTTTCTTCTGGAACCAAATCATCTATATTAAAACAGTCTTGATATATCAGACTTTATTAGTAAAATCTCAATATTTCATAAATCGGATTTTATTCTAGATCAACTATAGTTAAAAAATCTTGATATGATGTATTAATTTTTTCGGAGTCTGAAATAATTATGTCAATCATTTATTAATTAGGCAAACAATTTTTCTCACTGTTTTTTTTTCAAACTATACTTTAGCATAAGAGAAAACAAAGATACGAATAATAAAAAAAAGAAAACTTTAACATTAGCTCAAAAGAAAGAACTCTATGAAAAACGAAGAGATCAAAAACTTAGTGGTATTCAATTAGCAGCACAATATGGAATTTCCACTAGCACAGTTTCTGATATTTTAAAAAGATCAGAACATTGGCTTCCATTGATACCACTTTACCAAATGCAAATAATTTTCGTGAAAAATCTAGTGTTTATCCATAACTAGAAGAAGTAATGAGCATTTGGGTTGATCAACAAATTTCAAGAAATTTAACTATAAATGGGCCTATTATCCAACAAAAAGCAGTAGAGTGTGCTAACTTACTTGATATCACAAACTTTTCAGCATCTGCAGGATGGTTAAGCAACTTTAAACAGAGAAATAATTTGCATACATATAAAAAAAAAGGAGAAGCTGACAGTACTCATATTGATGAACTTCCACAAATGAGAGCTGAATTACGAGAAATTCTTCAAGCATATGAATTGAAAGATATCTGAAACTGTGATGAAACTGCTCTTTTTGGCGTTTAGAACCATCCAAAACAATAGCACACAATCCTGTACTTGGTAAAAAACGTCCTAAAAAACGTATTAGTATTTTGGCAACTTGTAATACTTTTTGTGATAAAAAATTGCCTTTAGTTTTTATTCATAAATATGAAACACTACGTGCATTAAAGGGAATTGAAAAAAGTGTTTGGTATTATTAGAACTAAGGTTGCTTGCCGAAACCTAGGGGTTTAGGCAAGATGGCATTTCGCCAAAAAGCGAAATTCTGCTGAAACTATATTAAAGTTATATTAAAAAACAGGTGAAATTTTGGAGAAAGGCGAAACTGCTGAAACTTATTATAAATGCCGAAACTGCCAAAACTCTGCCAAAACTATAATAAATCTATAGTAAAATTTTGACGAAACTAATCGTAGGATTTTGAAGAGGTTTAGACAAGCAACCTTAATTGGAACTCTAAAGCTTGGATATAAAGAAGTATTTTCAAACATTATCTTGAAAGATTAAATTCCAAAATGCTTAGAGAAAATCGGCATATTATTTTACTAATAGATAATGCTAGATGTTATAAATCTGAGAATATCAATAGTCTTTCAAATGTTAAGGTTCATTTTTTACCACCAAATACAACATCATTTCTTCAACCATTAGATCAAGGCATTATTTATAGTTTAAAAGCACAATATTGCAAATTGCTATGTCAAAATCGTATTCAAGCTTATGATTTTTATGAAGAGAGAGACCCCATTCCACCCCCAATTGATATTTTTGATTCAATCAATTTAATTGCTGATGCCTGGAAAAAAGTATCTAAAAAAACAATTCTTAACAGTTGGGCTAAAGCTGAAATCCTTCCCAATAATAATATGGGAGATTCTGAATGTTCAGACAATTCCAATTATGAAGAAGATAATATTGGACATGAATTACAATCATTAATTGATGAGTTAGGATTTGTAAATCCTTTAGCTGTGAATGACTATATTAATATTGATAATAGAGTATCTGCTGAAGAGAAATTATCATTACAAGAAATTGTTGACGTTATAAAGGGAACAAATGAAAGGGAAATTGAAGAGGAAGAGGAGCAAGATGAAATCTCTACAATAGTTGAATTAAATAGCATTGAAAATGTAATTAAATATATTCAACAAAAAGATTTAGAAATTGGTAATTTAGAAATGAAAAATTTAATTAAATTGAAAAAAAGGATCTTTTTTGATAATATAAATGAAAAAAGGCAAAGTAAACTAAATGAATATTTTGATTTTAATGTATGATAAATAGTTCTTTTATAATAATAAAATTATATTCATTTTTTGAATAAAATTTTGAAAATTTTGAACAAAAAATCACGTGATTTCTTGGTATTTCAGATTTTTCATATATTTTTATATAAATCCAGTTTGGCGAGATTTTTTTGATATATCAGATGTCTTGATATATCGGATATTTTTATTGGAACCAACTGATCTGATTTATCAAGATTACCTGTGTATTAATAATTGCTTATATTGATAAATTTTTTAGATTTCATTTCAAAAAAACTCGTTGTATTGATATTATATATAGTTTTATAATGTAATATGTACTGATACTTTTCTTTGCCCCTTTATAATTAATACATAGTAAAATATACATTACACTGGTATTAATTTCTATAAATTTGGCCGGAATTAACATTAACGCTATCACGTGCAACTGTGCAAGTGCATAACTCCTAAACTCGGGCCAGTTTGTATGTTAAAATTGTACATCCACTGTAAGTTAAGGACGCCCATAATTAGCATCCCGAAAATAAGCACCCCGGCCAGAATTATGANGTATGTTAAAATTGTACATCCACTGTAAGTTAAGGACGCCCATAATTAGCATCCCGAAAATAAGCACCCCGGCCAGAATTATGAAAATTTTGGCCTACATTATGCTGTTCCCGGCCAGCATTACTGTCAAAAAGGATGCTTAATTTCGGACGTATACAGTATTTATTCGATATAATTATTAATTAAAAAGTATTTTAGATAATGGTTATTTATAAATTCAAACTTAAAAAAAAAAGAGTTAGTATATAAAAGAAAAATTATTTTTGAAAATAGAAAAAACCTTTTTATTCATACTTATTATTAATATTAATATTTAAAACTTTAAACATACAAAATTTTCAAAATAATTTAACTTCTAAGGCAAGGCATGTACTTTGCTAATCTTTTAGGTGGTTTATTTGAGTACGTGTAACACTAAGTTTTCCATTGGTCGTACAATCATGATTGCTAAAAGATTATTACATGAATTGGAAACATAATGCTTAATTTATTAAAATAAACCATGTTTGAGAATCAACGAAGTAAAGGATCAATGAGTGCTGGATCATAATGACCAATCAAAAATGATAGATTTTCTATTATAGATGGTAAATGTGCAATTTTAAGTTTCATCGTTTTGATGTACTAATAAATAAATATCATATAAATATTTGGGTTCCTTATTTTATAAAGGTATCATTCTATGATGATAATCACTAGGACAAGCGTATATTTATAGATTTATAGACGAGTGTGACATATATTAATTAAAGATGAGCATATGATTGGACTATAAGAATGCAATGGACTATTCTAAAAGCAAAGCCCAGTTTTAGTAGTACTATTAAAATTATCATATTTCCGACTTGGCAACAAGCCGCTTTGAAATTCTTTTGACCAAAACCTCTTCCAATTAGTTAGGTTTGCATATATATATATATAATTTATTTATTTATCCAAGGTCATTATTTATTATTTTTTTTTTTTATTTCTTGTTTTTTTTTAATTCTCTTAAAACCAGCTTATATAATTTCATGTTAAATCGTTTCTATAAAACAGAGACATTCTAGAATCTAGCTTTATATTTCTATAAACTATCTAATATCAATATTAATAATACAATATTAGAAAATGAGCAAATATTCGCGAGTAAGTTCATACCAATGAAGTTATTTAAACTTGATAAGACTCTAGTAATAAACTAAATATTTCAATTAGGTTCCTAACTCTGAAGACGATGTTCAGGTCGTGGAGCTTCAGGTACCTCCTTCAACCGTTGAAGCTTCCACATCCCGTTCACCAAGTCCTATTCCCTCTACAAATAACAACGTTGATAGCGATGAAATAATAGAAACAGAGTCTACACCAATGGTAACTGAAAGTGTGGAGACCACATCAACGACTGATAATGATAATCATTATGAAAATGATAATGGTGGAACCAGATTATCTATACTGAACAAAATAAAAAGAAAACCCAATGCTACCCAACAAGCTACTTTACCTGTAGTAACTGATGGCGTATTCTCTAACTTGTCCGCAAAACCTGATACAGAGGCAGATAAAGAAGATGAGAATCCACCAGTAAGTCAAGATCTGTCAGAATGCAATCATGTTTTCATTTACTGATATTCTTGATTTTTTTTTCAGCCATATGAGACAGCTGCAGCTGATGCAGCACCACCATACTGGGAAACAACTATCATTGCTCCAGGTTTAAGCGGGGATGAAATTCTTGTTGAAGGTTTACCCGTAGGAAACTTTTTCAGTTTTGTTTGGAATATGCTCGGTATGTGCATAATTTACAAAAAAAAAATTAAATAAAATTTTTTAATTTAATTGACATTTTTTTATAGTTTCCATGAGCTTCCAATTTGTTGGATTCTTATTGACTTATCTTTTACATACCAATCATGCCGCCAAGGTAACAAATTCTTATTTTTTATTCGAAGGATCTTATTTAATTCCATTATACTGATATTTTTATTATTCATCAGAATGGCTCCCGAGCTGGCTTGGGTATTACATTGGTGCAGTATGGTTTCTACCTTCGCGGTAGAGCATTACAAGATGATGATTATTATTATGATGAAAATATAAATGACAAAGAAGTGATGGCTCGTAGCGCATGGTTAAGGTTTGTTTTTTATATATATTTAAATAACATTTACTTAATCTCCATGTTAATAACACATTTTTCATAATAATTAGTTATATTCTCATGTTTTTGGGCTGGTTCATTGTAATTCGGAGTGTATCAGACTTTATAAGAGTTAAGAGGATGGAAACCGTTATGCGTACCACACCCGAAGAGAATGTATAATATAGACATTTCTTATAAAAAAAATATATATACAATTTTGCTATTATATTTGCCTTTTAACATACTAGTTTATATTTTCTTGTATTATTTTTTTTTTTTTTTTATTATTATTATTTCAAAGTTTACATTCCACAATTAATTGTTTATTAATGTGATCTTTTGAAGCTGTTTATTTTTTCTTTCTTCAAAAATAATATAAATCATTGCAAACAATAATATATATATATATATATATTTTATTATTTATTATTTCATTTGAGCTATACATAGTTCGAGGTTTTGTGCCGGATCAAAATTTCTTCATTATTACTCTCCTTTTTTTATTAATAACATATACAGAGTCTTAGTTTAAGTTAAAGTAATGACTGCGAATAAAGTAATTTATCTTAGAGAATTGAGATAATTCAAGGGATTTTGTTAGTTGCACCGTAACGAAAATTACATATTCATCACAAGGAATCACTGTTTATATCTCTTATTCGTCACATGATATTTATCACCGGCTATCTCACGTGATAGTGTATAACGCCGTAATGTGGGCCAAAATAAATTTTTTCGGGAAAGAAAAGTGTTAATCACTGCCAGTTTTTTTGAGCAAATTTGTTTCTGAAATACCTGAACAGAACAGTGCAATAGTACGCATAATTTATATTTACACTTTAATAATTTAATTAAAAAAAGGCAGAATTTGGGATATCATTCCGTTAAAAAAACACAAGTACTTTGTTAATTTTCATCGCCATAATGCGTGACATGCATGTTAAGGCGCGAGGAATTTAATTTTAAGCACGAAAAGAATAACAGACTGCACACTAGTTGCAAATAAGTAGAACCCAGGCAACACTTATTAATTATTATTGTGATATATTACTACAATTATTGAAAATCATGATACAAATATATAATATCTTTCTATCATTCAACCATTAATTTGGATTGAAAAGGTTTTGAGAAATTCAGCTATTTTGCTTGTTTTTGCTTATTTTTCAGCGTTTGTTTTTTTTTTTTACCTTTTACCACTCCAACTGTTATTCGTTTATTTTTACCTTTACCACTGAATGAAATTCAGTTACTTTAAACAACTTTTTTGCCTTTTACCATTCCAAAAAAATTTCAGAGACTTTTGAGAAAGATTTGGGTCACTCCGAAAAGTACTTCTACCTTGACATCAATTCTATTCAAACAATGACTCTTGTAAGATCATAGTCAATAGGATCGGTCATATTTTAATGTCTTTTGTAACATACCTTTTTGGAAGTTTTAAATTAAGGCTGAGGTTTTTCGGAAGATGATTAACGATTATTGTTCCTTGCATATTAAAAGTTTCAAGCCCGGCCGTGACCATGATTTCATTACAATCTACAACATAAATCGTAAGACCCTCCTTAGATTTCAGGCCAGAGGTCTGAATAAACATATTTATTGTTCCGCCTTAGCAGTAAACAGAAAAGTTAAGTACAAAATGACGCTAAATAGCATGCATACGTTAAATTACACAAACCTCTCAACGTCATCACAAATAGCGAAGGGATAATACCCACATTTTCTTTATTGTATCTTTCTCCTCTTTAGATTTGTAGTCGGTGAACTAGAAAGAAAACAGTATATGTAGTCCTTTCAATGATTTTTCTTTAGCAGAGGATATCGATATATATATGAGAAACTTATTGTCACACAGATTGATCAGTTACGTAATATCTGATATACTTACGCGACGCGATGCTGTGATGAATAAAATTACTGACACGTGACTGTGCTTACTGTGCTTGACACGTATGACACGTGCTATAAAATTACATGTACGATATGTACAAGTAATTGTTATAAATTTATGGAAGTTCATAAAATTAGTGTCACATGAGACTTAAAGCACAAATGATCCGTTCGTTATATGCCAAATAGAATAAGATCGCCGAACGTAAACTTGATTTGAATGTCTATTATTCACCTAATTGAATAAATATCTTTATTTACGAAGTTACTCCTGTGAAATGATACATTCAAAGTTAAGGGCTGTGAAATAACATTTAATTATTATAAGCGGTTTGTATTTTGGTTTGTATTTTAGTGCGATCCCGATGAATTTCGATTGGCTTCACATAACATCCTTTACATAGATTATAAACCGTGGCTAATAATAAAGCTTAGTATACCACAAAATTTATTAAAAAAATCCATTTGTTCAATTTTCCCAGCATACAAGTTTTATTGTTACATCCTTTCTTTCATAAGGCGAAAGATACAGGTTTTTGACAAAGAAACAATGTTAAAAATAGATTAAAATGAACTTAAAAGTTATAATGTAGTTGTTTCCAAAAAAGGCAAGTTCTTCCGACAACTTTGGCTAAGTCAAATTCCACACAAAAAAAAGTCGGAAAAACTTTGATAATATATAAAAAATAATATCAAGATTTTAAAACAATTTTTAAACTAAATTTAAACTAAAAATAATTTGTTTCACGAATCCACATTGATAACAGGATTTACTGTTTGACACTATACTAACAAAGTTTTTTCTTGCACATGTAGTTTATGCTAAACGGCAAATGTGATCTTAATTTAGTTATCTTCCGGTGGATCTTTATTTATTATCTTCAGGCAGAAAATAGTTTTTTTTTCAAAAAAAAAAAAAAAAAAAAAAGAGCTTCCCGCAGGCAGAAAATAATCTCTTCAAGAATCTTTATTCTAATTAGCTTCTATTTTTTTACATAATATGAAATAATATATACGGGATTAGCGGGAACTTTTTGGAAAGCCACTAGTATGGTAAAAAAAACCTCATTCATTCTGATCTGATGGTTATAAATATAAATATATATAAATATGTATATATATTTTTTTATATATATATAATTTTTTTTTACTGTACACAACATATTAGATATATATTCGAAAATTTATATATATACTTTGTGTAATTATTGCAAGAAATTAATACTCATTTTTTTTTATTCCTCTTTTTCAAATAACACAGCCGTTTTTATTAGATTTTTTGCAAAAGATCCCGAAAAAATCAATTATATAAAGTGAAAAAAATTCTTTGAGGAAAAAAAAAGGAAAAAAAAAGGATTATCTTTCAACGCAAACACGTACTAACGCTTTATTCTATCAAAATTTTATATACATTTATTCTAAAATTACTTCGCATTATAAACTTCTCTTCATTATTTGAAAAATTCTTTACCTGATAGTCAATACAAGCAAGCTTTTCACCTTTAAAAAAAAAAAAAGTTATTCTTATTCTACTCAACATAACTAAATTGAATAATAATGTCCGGAAGAAATCACGAGCACTATAATAAACCCAACCACGAAAGTCGTTACTCTAATAATTCGAATAACTTTGGAGATAATTATAATAATTCACCCCGTCACAATAGAAGTTCTCCTCCTCGTCGCGGCCATAATGGACAAAGTCGCGGTTATTCTTCAACTGACCAAGGTTATCTGAACAGCTCACCTCGTCCCAGTAACAATTGCGATAGCCAAGATAATCGTAATCTTAACAATCGATCTAATGCTCGTGCTGCTTGTAGTCCTTATAACAGAAATTCTCAAAGCAGCAGATCTCGCAACTCTCATACCGGATCTTCCGCTCGTGAGGAACGAGAAAATCCTCGTCCTTCGTCGTTCCAAGATCCCGATGATTTTTTAGGCGGTTGGGGTGAACCTCAAATGGAAAATTGTGGTGAGTCTATCGAAGAGAGAAAATACAAAGCGGCTGTCAGAGACCCACCTTTCTTAAAATTAAATCCTTCGAAAGAAGCATCCAGGGTCCCCAGTACCGATGATGATGAGGTTGACTGGGTAATATCTGAACCTATCCCTTCGAATTCCGTCACGATTCGAACTCAATCGCCGCCGCCATACTTTTTTTCGGAGAATGAAGTTAACAACAAAAAAGTTTCTCGGAATAATAATAAAGGAAAGTCTAAAGCTTCCCAGGATCAATGTTACGAAGAAAAATTTCCTAATAATGGAGAGGATGATTACAAGGGAAAAAGTTTTCCCCCACCATATCCAATTGTCCCGGTCTCCCCAGATATCGAACAACACTTGCCTACTGACAGAATTTTTGAGAATGATTCTAGGTCATCCGCACAATCCTTTGATAATCTCTGTAAAATAGCAAAAACACTTTGGAGTGATTCCACGGATGTCCCACTCGATTTGGCCAGCAAGCAAGACGTGAATCCTGATGAGTATTTGAGACTTAATGGAGATAAACTAAGGGAGGCTTCAGTGGAATATAGCAATTCTAACAATAAAAATCGTATAGAACCTGAATGGCCCGAGGAAAAGCACGAGGAATGGCCCGAGGAACGAGATTTTTCAAATGTGACGCCTTGCAATCCTGAATTAACATACAATCAATCTTCCTCATTTATAGGCTATCAGTCTTTCTCATTTACAGATAATCAGTCTTCCTCGTTCATAGACAATCAGTTAAATTCACCTAAATTACCCCCACCTAAATCATCCTCAATTAAAAAAACAGATTTCAGATACGCATCAAAATTAATATCTTCTTTTATTTCGTAAGTAGAATCTGATTTTAGTTTCTGGTTTTTTTATTATTAATTTAAAATTTATTAAATTGAAGGAACGAGAAGAGTGAGAGGAGAAAACTCGCTAGAAATCCTCCTAATGATGATGCGGGAAATTATTCGACTGTAATTTCGACAGTTTCGACTATAGAAATTTCAGAAGTAGAAATTTCAAAAGTAGAAGTTTCAAAAGTAGAAGAATTTTCGATTTTAACATCATTACGAGCAAAAGACGAAGAAGCTGTTCGAGATTTGGTTGATAACATATCCCGCTCCCCTCCCGATAGTTGGCTTTATCACACTCTTTCTAGAGCTCATTTTTTACTTCCAAAAATCTCATCATTTGATAAACAAGCTATACAAAATCTTTTAAAAATTCTATCTTCTCCTCTCGTTCTCAAACAAAATAGCGCCGAAACGAAAGAATTAATTGATCTTATTATCGCGCAAGCCGGTTTTTTCGAAAAGATATTCTTTTATATGAAAGGTGTTATTTTCGGTAGTGACCTTATACCGATTATTAGACTGATCGACTTTATTATTCGATATTTTCCTCGTGCAGATCTAAATATTCAACACAATGATATCGACGAAGTATATATGAGGGTTAAAAGTACCTTTCTTGAGAAAGAATCGGATGATGTTACCGCAATGCTTATTAATATTAAAAGGTACCGACCCAAGAAGAGCATAGCTGTTGATTGGAATGTTATCGGCCAAAATGATCAGAAAAAGGCCGTTGAACAGAGTAAGGACATTGAACAGAAGAAGGCCTTAGATTATCAAAAAAAGGACATCGAACTGAAGAATGAACAGAAGAAGGTCTTAGGTCATCAAAAAAAAGACGGTGATCTTCAGAAGAATGAACAGAATGTCTTAGATTCTCCAAAAAATGATGATCAGAAGAAGGAAAAGCAAAAAAAACCCGATTGGATAATTCATCACAGTGAAAACCGTACTGAGAAGCCAATAGAGCCTCTTCCTGAAGAAATTTTTAACTTACGAGAAATGATGATTAGGCCCACATTAACACCACATTTGGCTAATCGCTCCTGGTCGCCTGAACATGAAGAAATATATCGTCAAATTCATTACGATTTACTGAGAACTGAAGTTGTAGAGGACCTGCAGAGGGCTAGCGTATCGTTTTTTGCTGATAATTGCAAAGACTATGATATACCAATGAATTCACCCTTTTATAATTATGTTTACTACCAAGATGTTCAAGTTGTCGACACTTACATTGATAAAAACTTTACTCCGTACGTTAGAGTTGGATTTAAACCAAGTCGACCTGTTGATTGGATTAAAGGTGAACACCTTATATACGGTACCTATGTACTATTGTTTAAGGTCAAGACCGATCTATCTATCGATATATCAAGTATGACCTGGGCGATGGTCGGATATTTCAACCTTGATGATGTCATCAGACCGAGTTATAATAAAGATCCATGTTGGAAATTACGGGAAAGTTTTGTAGGTTTAAATTTCTCCTCGTCAGAATTCGAGAAGCTCGATATTGATGGAAAGTATGTCATGTTGGAATCGACCAGGAACTATGCTACAATAAGGCCAGTAATGGAATGGCTCAAAGAATCAGGAATCCAAAGATTTATTCCATTGTATCGAGAACTGTTCACATGCAGCCTTAACGTTCCTATCGTTAAGGATACAGAAAATAAACTTATCCCCGGTTATCTTGAGAACGTTTCCTTTAACATAACTTCAATTTTGGTCGATCAAAAAAATAAAACCATTGCTAGGGATCTAGCTCAGTGGCCGCATTATTCGATTAAAAATGGCACAGCATACAATATGGAACGTTCTGGTGTCGTTGCTTTACGACATATAATTTCGAATAAAGTTGCCGTGATCATGGCACCAATTATTACGTCAAAAGCGAGGGTTGCTTCAAAAGCTGTAGAACTCCTTAATCAAGCCCTTGAACAGAGCCACTGTCATGAACCAATTCTTATTCTTACTCGTAGTTCATATGCTTTGGATAGTATTTTGGAACAACTGCTTCCTTCCTTTCCGGAACTCATCCGTTGTGGATCCTTGTCAAAATGCAAAAATCCTGCTCTTAGTGCTAGGCAAATTCAGGATGTGGTTGAAGAAAATTCGAAAAAAACATCTTTACGCAGGGGATGGTATAATATTAGTGGCGAAATTATTAGTAAACAAAAAGAATTAATGGAATTATGGAAATTAAGGAAAATTGGTTTATCATTACATTATTTCTTAGAAACATGTCCCAAAGGATTCCGCGAACAACTGAGTCCTGTGAACCCGAGGACACAATCTAGGGCTTTTGGATTTGAGCACGAAAAAGCAATGCTTATACATTGCTTAGAACTTTGGTTATCGGGTATACCGATGGTAACTGTAGATAAACTCTATCCATCGAATAAACAAAAGGGTTTAACTGAAGACTTTCCGGCCTTTCCGAGTTTTCGACATAGCATACAACGAACTGATACAACCTTACCTGCAAATCCTTGGTCCAATGTTACACAAGGTTCTAATCAAGGTATAGTTATGGTCAATAAATATCCGAATTTTGTATTTAGCAATCCTAATTTTTTATTTACAAAAGAGATGTATATACGACCTTATCATATTTCACCATCGCTTTTTGATGAACTTTCCAAATCATATTTATTCGAAAACGATTGGATGAAAAGCAATGGATGCAATGACGATGAAATCTCTTTTCCAACTGACTCTGACAAAGAGATTTTGAATCATCAAATTGATGATCGTGTTATATTCAAATCTGAAGATGGCTATAACAGTTTTTTTTCTAATTCTAATTTTTATAAACACAAGACGGAGTTCGCCAATGTGGCGTTAGGGTTTTGGCGTAATAATGGAAAGAACATTTGGGATATGAAGGTAGATGAACGCAAAAGTTTATATGATAGGTTCTGTCAGCGCCATAAAAATTTTTGCGATCCGAAAATTCGTGACATCCAAAAAAGTGCAATATCAGATGCAGAAAATGCCAAATCGACGCTAATTGCGCGATGGACCGAAGTGTGTAGTTTTGTACCAGTAATAGGAATGACCGTAAATTATGCTACGGAATATAGAGAACTACTCACTACCATAAAACCAAGAATTTGCATTGTGGACGAAGCATCCGAGATTTTGGAATCTCAGTTAATGTATTTAATCTCCACAGACCGACTCGAACATTTAATAATGTTCGGTGATACTAAGTATTCAAAGCCTGATGTTAAGAGTTGTACAGCTCAAAAACACGGATTGGATGTATCATTATTTGATAGGTGGATCCAATGTGATGGAAAATCCGTCTGTTTAAAACAACAATCTCGCATGCATCCAGCTGTCCATGAACTTGTTCGTACATTTTATGATGAAGATGGGACAGAAAATATAGAGACAAATAATATTCCCAAGATTAAGGGTGTTCCCTCTAATGTGTTCTTTATGACACATAATAATTCTGACGATGAAAAATGGACGTCTTTCAAAAAAACAAACACTTTCGAGGCAGAATTTATTATAAGATTTGCTTTCTATTTGTATCAGCAGGGATATGATCCAGCGAAGATAACTATTCTGACGCCTTATCTGGGGCAAAAACTTTTAATTCTGAATTTGTTAAAACCAGAACTAAAGAAAGACTTATCAAGGAATAGCAAATACGGACGATTTGATAAGGAGAGGAATCAAGCCGGAAAGATTAGGGTTGAATTGATCGATAATTATAGTAGTGAGGAGAATGAGATTGTTCTGCTTTCATTGGTGTCAGTAAGCAAGAATTGGCATGAAGAAGCTTTAAAAACATTGAATAATAAAAAGCGAGCAATAATCGCTTTGTCAAGGGCACTTCATGCACTTTATATTTTCGGTAATGACGATATGCTTCGTAAAAGCGAAATATGGGCACCGATTGTTAAGCTGACAGAAAAAAGTAATTAATAAATTAATAACTAAAGAACTATTTGTTTGATACTAATAATTATATTGATTTTTCTTCATTTAAATAGAAAATGCGTACGGAAAAAGCTTGATTCTTTCCTGCGATACTCATAATAAACAAAGAATAGAAGTTTCAACATTAGAAGATTTTGAAACAAAAGTACCATATGGCGGGTGTTCGGTAAGTATTTTTACCAATATTTTTCATTATGACAACGGACAAATATAATACGTAAGGGGATATATCTTATCCATTTTATTACATATATTAATAATAATATTTTTTTTTTTTTTTGTTAGAAACCATGTGACGATTTATTGAAGTGTGGACATGCATGCTCTAGAAAATGTCATCCTATCCAACACTCAAATGAAGTAAATTATATTTGTCATCGCCCATGCGCTCAATCTAGACCCGAAGGATGTTCGCACAGATGTCCTAATAAATGTAACGATTGTGAAAAATTAGGAAAGTGTCCACCATGTGAGGAGGAAGTTAGAATCAAATTATCATGTGGTCACGTAAAAATCATGTCATGTCGTAGAAAATTTAATATGGATAGAATGAATGTGGAATGCAGTGAAAGGAGAATGGTTACTTTTGAATGTGGGCATAGTTCCATGTTTCCGTGCAGCACAAGGTATCCTGTGTGCCAAGAAACCTGTGGCAAGCCTTTTCCCTGCGGGCATCGTTGTCAACGCCAATGTGGAATAGAACACAATCATGAAAGGTCCGATTGTTTGAGCGAATGTACGAAAGTCTTAATCTGCGGACATCAGTGCGCGAATGGTTGTAACGAACCTAACCGTCATACTTCTTTTTGCATCAAGCGATGTCGGATTAAGTGCTTGCATGGACGTGTGTGTCCAAAAACTTGTTGTGAGAAATGCACAAGCTGTCGTGAGCCTTGCCCGTGGAAATGTCCACATTATAAATGCAATAGGAAATGTTTTGAAGTATGTGACCGAATTCCATGCGATAAGCGATGCCAAATATTTTTTAGATGCGGGTAAATATTTAGTTATTTAATTTTATTTTCCTCTTTTTTAATTAATCATTATTGTTTAATTTTAAATCTTTCATAGTCATCAATGTAATGGTTATTGTGGCGAAAAGTGCCCTCCCTGTTTAAAGTGTAATCCAAGCCTACAATGTAAGATTACTCTTTTAACATTTTCCGAAATGGAAGAAAATGAGGATCTTTATGTTCTTCCTGAATGTAATTGCGTGTTTACAGCAACAGGCCTTGATACATACTTTAATAACCAAGCTAAAAATGGTAATATATACTTTTAATTTGTTTATTATTTTTATAATATTAATTATATTTATGAATTTTTCACTTCAATTAGGCGATCACACCGCCGTAAAACTCTGGCAATGTCCCAGCTGTCAAGAACCAATCTTCACCGCTATGAGATATAGCAATTATTTAAAGAGTGAAATTAATCTTTGGAATATAATCAAACATAAGCAAGAAATAGCCCGCAATTCACTCTCAGAAGAGGAAAGGAGACAGATTATTAATGCCATGAACGAAGAAACACGAACTACCGATTTCAACAGCATGGTCGGAGGTAGATGGTTCGTGTGCCCAAATAAACATCCGTATTATATTGGGAACTGTGGTGGTGCCACCCAAATATCAAGATGCCCGGATTGTTCCGCAACTATTGGCGGAACCCAACATAGGGTAATTAACTCCAATAAATTTTATGGAGAATTTGACAACAGTACTTCGCCTGCTTGGCCAGGCCAGCACTAGATATGTTGTCAGATTTCCTTAATTTATGTATATATAATAACTTAGATACTAATCAAGTGCAAAGTGCATTTATATAATTAGTAAATTATTTTATTAATAGTAATTTTTACATGATAATTTATGTGCGTCGTAAATTTTAAATTTCTTTTGATATTTTAAACAATGTTTGTCGCTAAATAAATAAAATTCAACTACTTGGTTTATTCATCGGAAGGCTATCTCTAAAAAAAAGACGAGAATGTGGGATCAACTAAATTTATTGATTTTATGGATTTTATGCGAAATGGCAAATAATCTTACCCTAATGTCTCTTCCAAATGTGGAATCATATGAGAACAAAGATAAATGGTTATAACAGGTGCTGGCGGTCCATCACGTGATCTGTAATTTTATAAATCATATGAGCGAATTTTGACCTCGTATTACAAAATCTTTTGTACTTGCATATCATGTTCTTTATGATCTTCGTGATCAAGAATCATCTCGTCGTCATCTTTTTTTTCTTCATCTTGTGTTAAGGAATCCCGTCCGATTTGAGTATATTGATGTAAAGAACCATTTAATTTTCGTTTAATTATTTCTACTATGGTAATAGTTTTATTAATAGCTGGACCTTTTCCTGAGAATACAACAACATTTTCGGGCGTAAAACTTGACTTATCCTAGATTTAATAGGAATATAATTTAAAATTTTTCACTTTTCATTGTAATGGATTATTATATGAGCTACCTGAAAAATTGATAAAGCAATTTCAACATATTTCTTGATTTTACTCGATTGAACTATTCTAATAAATTTTTTTGGTTGAATATTTAAAGAATTTTCAGTTTTTTGTTGCAATATTGAATCCTGAGCTAAGTCTTTATCTGATGATAACATTTGGTCTAATATTGAGGGAGGGAAATAATTATTTCCAAAATCAGATTAACTGTGGCAGTGTTCAAAACTTTTGTTATTTGGTTTAACAAGTACCCGGAAACTTATACCGGTGCACAGACTATATTAAAAATTTCCAAAAGTTACCGTACAATATACACTCTCCGAAACTTCAAATGACAAGGCCTTATAGGAAATCTGCTAGCCCTGGTTGTAATAGCAGATGAAACAAACGATTATGTAAAGTTGAATGCTGTCACCAAAGCATATTATATAGTATTTCGTGAGATGCCGGGTATTAAATCATTTAAGTGAGGAGGCACAGTATAATTTTGACCAGAATTAAGCTTAAGTCACCAGAATTAAGGGGGGGTATTATTGTACATGTAGTTTCTGGGGTCCAACACCATTTTTTAGTTCGACGATTTTTATTGGCTCGGATACAACGAACGGGTCAAACTGAAAATTAGTTATTTTTAACTACCGTTAAAAATAAGTTCGTGTTTTTTCAGTTTTTAAATTTTTTTTTTAATTATAAAAGTTTTTTGAATTAAGTATGACAGAAGTTCGAAGAAATATACCTTCTTTTTCGACTGTTACTTCTAGCTTTAAATCATACATTACATCTTTACCGCTATTAACTACGACCATCACGTGTATATCAATTTTATTTTATGTGTTTGAGTATGTGTACAAAGCATTATTTTCGGATACTATTTACAATTTGCTATCACTTTCACCCGTTTCATTCTTTAGTGGACAAGGTAATTTTATATTTAACGCGTAAAACTCGAAAATTTCTTATACCCCCTTTAAATAACTAACAGTAAATAAATGTTTATTATAGTGTGGCGTTTAGTTACGTTTCCTTATCCATCTGATTCACTTGGAAATATACTTTTTAATTTACTTGCATTTTTACCTTTAAGTACAGCAATAGAACATACGATTGGTACATTAGAATATTTTTATATATTAATGACTATATTTACAATACTTTCAGGTTCCTTATATTTATTAGGTTCACTGATTTTTGATTATAAAGATGTCAATATTGGTGGTTTAAGTGTTTGGATGTTTGGTGTTGTTGTTTGGGAGAGTAGAGAATTAGCTGGACGTGAAAGGGAGTATGTTTCTATCTTACTAATTAATTCTCAAAAGATTTTCGAATTTTATTTTGAGTGTTGAAATGAACTTTTTTTCGATATTAGCATACTTGGATTTTTTAGAGTTCCAGCACACTTTTATCCTATTGTATTGTTATTGTTGATGGAAATTTTATTTCCACCTAATTGGTTTGCTAGTCATTTGTGTGGCTTATTTACGGGATATTTTTGTGAGTCACTTTATATTGCAATGTAATACTTTTCTTCTTTTTCTTCTAAAAAACATATCTAATTAATTTGGGATCTTCTTATAGATTCCTTTGGATATCTATCATGTATAATACCATCTTCAAGATATTTTTCAAATTTGGAAAGTAAATTTTCTTATTTATCGAATTTGCGTGGTTTCGTTAAAGCAGATGAGGGTAGTAGAGGTGGATGGTGGTTACCATTATGGAATCAAGATGTTGATGGATTAGAAGATTCGCTTGAATCTCCTATACATAGCAATAATGATGGTGGTGCAATTGGTGGAGGTGAAGGTGATCATGATGTCCGTGATAATAATGTTCGTGATGGCCATGTCAGTGGTGGAGGTGATGGGGATAATACTCTTCTTAACCCAACAAGCGCAACTCCGTAAGTAGTTTTTATATGACAAAGTTTTTAATGAAATAATTTTCTAATTCAAAATATCTCCTTTCTTAAAGACAAAATGCACGATCGATATCTCCAGAGATATCAACGCCTGTATTTGTCGTGCCATCCTCAAACGAATCAAGTAGAGCTAATTCTCCTGATACTTCCCCCTTAACTGATAATAAAAATTCCGAGACCACAACTTCAACACAAATAAATAACGATATTGAATTTGATTATCTTCTTCATCAAGATAATTCATCTAAAGATGTAAAATTAGTAAGCGATGATTGAGTATTTGCAAAAATCCGAAAATTTTAAGTGTAATCTTTTACTGTAAATATATTTTACATATTTTGTATTAGTTATTGAATTTATTAATATTATTAAAGTAATAAATAATTTTTACATATAATAAATAAATTTTTTTTAAAAAATAGTATAAAAATTTATTGAGAATTCTTTCTTACACGCATATATTACATATATTTTTTGATCCAAAAAGGTGCTAATTAGATGAAGACGGTTTAATTATTTTTATACCGGGTATAGCAGTTGGATTAAAAGATCTTTGACATTCTGCATAAGCTACCCCAATACCAAAACCTGTTGACATTGCAATTGGCCAAGATTTTTCTATTTAAATGAAAAGACGTCATTTTGAAAAGAAAAAATTAATTTTTTTAATATATGATTTTAATATATAATATTAAAATTAAAATCAATAAAAAAACCACGTACTTTTAAATAATAAAGCAGATGCTACAATCCCTACGCTTAACCCAATCCCGGATTTTATCAACATATTAGATAAGCAAAGATCCCACTAATACAAATAATAATAAATTTTTTACATTATTTATAAAAAGGAAAAAAAGGGCAATTAATTATTCAGTTACTAGTAATTATTATGTTATAAAAAAATTTCCTATTTTTACCTTTTCATTTAAAATTTGTTCACTTTTTGTATCCATTTCTTCGTTAGCCATAATTATACTATTCTTGTTACTAGAATTCGTAGTAAGAAAAGGGGTAGTAGAATTAGCGAATGTATTAGCTTCTACAACTTGATTATAACGTTGTTGTTGTTGTTGTTGTTGCTGTTGAAATTTTTGTTGTTGATTAAGTTGATTTTGTAGAACGGAAATATTATCGAAAGTTGGCAAGTTGAAGTGAGATGTCATAATGGGCGAGAGGAATTATTTTTCTCTTTATTAAAAAATTTTTTGAAAAAAAAACTCACATGATTTACATGCGTTACTAATTTTATATTAAATTTTTCTTTATAAGGAAATTTCTTTTTCTTTTTTGTTCACGAACTAAAAATAATCAAACCCTAAATCATGGTCTGTATTTTTATTTTTTACGCGTTTTTTTCAATATATATTCATTTCGATTTAATTTTTTTTGATAGTTTCAATAAAATAATGGCTGTTAAGATGGTAATTATTATTATTATTATTATTTTTTATAAAAAAAAAAAAATTCTTTGAATTTTTGATGAGAACTAAAATTTTTTTTTTGAATTTAAAAGTCTGAAAGAAATTTAAATGACGAGTTTCTAAAAGTNCATCTAAAGTAACAAATTCTCAAAAACCAACTTCGACACGTAAAAAGAAACAAAAAACAAACTCAGGTTTAACAATAGAACAACAACAAGAAATACGTGAAGCTTTTGATTTATTTGACACGGAAGGTAAAGGTATTATAGATATAAAAGAACTTAAAGTAGCAATAAGAGCTCTTGGTTTTGAACCTCCTAAAAAAGATGAAATAAAAAAATTATTGTCGGAAATCAATAATAAGTCTACCTCTGAAAGCGATGATAATGTTGATACTATTGATTTTGATAGTTTCAATAAAATAATGGCTGTTAAGATGGTAATTATTATTATTATTATTATTTTTTATAAAAAAAAAAAAATTCTTTGAATTTTTGATGAGAACTAAAATTTTTTTTTTGAATTTAAAAGTCTGAAAGAAATTTAAATGACGAGTTTCTAAAAGTATTTCAATTATTTGATGATGATGATACTGGAAAAATTACTTTTAAAAACTTAAAGCGAATTGCTAAAGAGTTAAGTGAAGATATAAGTGATGATCATTTAAGAGAAATGATCGAAGAAGCTGATCTCAATGGTGATGGTGAAGTTGATGAAAATGAATTTATACATTTATTAAAGAGAACAAATTTATACACTTAAATTTCTTTTCTTTCAAAAAAATTGTAATATATTTTATTCTTTTTTCTTAGAGATATATAAGATATATACCTTATTGTTTTTAAAAACTCTAAATAAAAAAAATAAAGTATTGACGTGTGAATCAATCAACATATTTAAAGAAATATACAAAATGGAGTATCTAATATATAATATATATAAGTTTGATAAGTATATTTTCTTATAATATATATATATAAATAATAATGCACATGGTTTTTTTTACATTTTTGAAGTACATATTTTGGATAATAATAAAAGACAAGAAAATATAAAATAAACTAGATAAGTTACAAAATCAAAATCTTTTCGTCTTGTACTAAATGTTCGTTACCACCAGCTTCTACTGCGAGTAGGAGACTTATGTTTTCGTTTCCATCAGTTTTATTAGTCATAAAACCAACCTCCCAATAATCTTTTTAATATACTACTACTATTGTTTGGAGATGTTTGAGAGATGTTCATATTTTGAGATGATGGTGTTGTACCAGAACCTGAAGATGCATTTCCTTCCACACGATGACGTTTGGAAACCTTATCTTCAGTCTCTCCTTCCTCTTTATTATTATCTTTCTTTTTACCCTTCAAAAAATTAATATAACGATTAATTTCAAGTACAATTTTTAACAACCGATTTCACAACTAATTTTTAATCACTTATTAACTTTACCTTTGGTATAGTAGTTGCATTTGATTCACTTCGTTTACGTTTGGATCCATTCCGAAGATTCGAGTATGACTTACTATCCCTGGAACTGCTGCTTTCAATGCTGTTCCTTCGTTGAGTGTCACCCGAAGGTTCGCTACTTGATCTTAAATGTAGAATTAAAATTTGTCACAAACAACAATTTTAGGTAATTAATTTTTTCACTTACTCTCTGTTATTTTTACCAAAATCGTAAAATTTTTCTCTATATACATCTTCAGATTGAAGATTAGTAACTACTTCGAAATTTTTTTCCGATAATGCACGAACAGCATTTTCAAGAGTCGTTCGGTTTCCTGCAGATACTTCGATAATACTAGGATCTATGGGTTGACCAGTGGCAGTGTTACCACCAACACGAGCACTTCGTTTCTTAACCCTAGTGCTTCTCGGCGTCTTTTTTGGTTGTGCTGAAGGAGTAAGGTCAACTTGTACTTCCGGAACATCATCTGATTGTTCGTGAGTGTTACTTATAATATCGTCATCGACTTCCGTATTAGCAACTTTTCTGTCATCTCTTTTATTAACGTCATGACTTCTAGTAGACCTAGTAGACCTAGAAGATTTAGGCGTATGAGTAAGTGGTTCACTAACTGAACTTTTACTTTTTCGGATCCTTTTTGGACGTGTAGGTGTTGAAACTGATTCTTCGACAACAGCAATATTGTGTTCTATTTCAGCATTGGATAATTCTTCTACAATCTGATTCTCCGAATTATTATCCACCGTGTCAACAACTTCCGAGATTTCAATCTCAGATTCGGTTTCCTCTCCACCGGAATATTTATATGAAGTATCATGATTCTTCGGCCTAGAGCCGCGAGTAATTTCACTTCTACTTTTTCCTCGACCTCTATTATCCTGCGCAGGTTTTTTCTCCTTCCTTGTAATTTTAGAGGTTTTGGAAATTTTTGGCGCTTTTTTACCTGATAACCTCCTTTTAGTACTAACTTCTGAGATTGCATCAATGCTCTCAACTTTCTTCGACTTTTTTGGAGTAGTGGATGTTTTTGAAGACAACCGAGCTTTTGAAGTGATACCACGACCTCTTGAATTTGCCATTACTGTTTCACTATCATCACCTAACTCATTATCAGCTTCATCTGGATGCCATTCGCGATCTTCATTTTTTTTACGAGAAGTTGATCTGCGAGATGTTCTACGTTTTGGTATTGTCTTTACAGATTTCTTGGAAGTATTTTTCAAAATAGTTTTTTTAGCTAGTTGTTTAGGTCTTGTAATTTTTTTGGAAAAAGCAGTAGAAACAGGTTCCTTTTCTGTTTCTTCACTATTATCTACTACTCCTGGTAATGCAAGCATAATCTTTCGAGAACGAAGATCATGCTTGAGGTATAAATTATCTTGTAAATAATTATCAAGAATATTTTCATCAATGTTTCCGCCATCACCCACATTTTGAATACCATGAGAATCTTCACTAGTTTCCTGTTCTTCATCACTTTGAACAGGAAGATTATGCACAGGCTCATCAGTCTCTTCGTTCTTTTCATTATCAACATTAACAACTTCAGAATCTACATCAGCTTCATTTTCGGTAACAGATAAAGTTCCTTTACGAAGTGAACGACGTTTTTTACGTGTTTTTGATCTTTTACTACTACCATAAGAATAACGAGGATAACTATAACTAACCGTGGTTCTATAAATTAAATACCATGGAAGTTTGTTTATTATGGTTATAAAATCATAATTAGTTAATTTATAAATAAATAATATCATTATTATAATTTTTTAAAAAACCTTTTACGCGTACTACGCCGTACTCCGGGAGCAATTGGATTAGCGAATTGCTCGATTTCTTCTTCACTTTCAGGTTCTACCTTAATAAATTTTAAATTAGAAAATTTGGACGCCATATTGTTGTAATGTTCACTTTGTCTAAATAATGTATCACTAATCTATATTTTAAAAATTATTAATAATAAATAAAATAAAATTTTATTGTATATTAACATTAGTCTATGCGTTTTAACATTATACTATTCTATTAAATCTTAAAAATACCTCGTTAGCAATAACGAAATCAACGCTTTCCGGATATTCGTTTTCATTCTCATGCTCTCGTTCAAGTTCTGACTGAGAAACTTCGTGAGGTTGCTTAAAAGTCCCAGTGGTTTGTGTATATTCGATATCCTCCATTTCATTGTCTACCTCATGGTTCTTATATGAAACAGAACTATGATGTACACTATCAAGTATCATATTCGATGTCGTTATTAAATCTCTAAGTTCATTAATATCTCGATTTTCTGTATCAACTAATGAAGTAGAAAATTCTTGTTCCGTTCTAGAATTGTCTAAATTCCTCGAATTTAACGTGTTCTTTTCTTGCTCTGATAGTAACAAATCAGTAGATTCATCTAAAACTTCAAAAGCTAATGCCGCAGGACTTTTATTTATTAACTCACAATTATTTGAACTGTCCTGAGATTCCAAAGATGCTGAGTCAGATTGTTGTTCGGAAGTTTGTGGTGTTTGATTACTCGAAATTCTTGGGCTCCTTCGGAGTATAGGTGGTTGTCCTCGTTGCTTACGTACGTTTAGATCAGTACGTTCATCTCCCAAAGAGACATCTAGTGCAGATGAATAAAGAATGCTCTCAGGTGTATGTGGAGCTAAATCGCTTGAGTCTTGTATTATTGTTGGGATCGCTGATGAATTATCTAGCGTAGAGCACTCAGAATATGCCCCTTGAGGAACGTCGGATAGAAAAGAGTCCAGTAGTTGAGTAGTATTTGATTGCGAACTTTGAAGAGTACCTGGGGTCCTTGGTTGTGATGGAGAGCTACTTGATAGAGTATTGTCTGGAGTAGGATATTGTGCATACAAAGATCCAGCGTTATCTTGCATATGAGAATATTGAGACATTTTTGTATTTTTATTTAATTCTTTGATGAATATAGGACAATACAGGACCTTGGAAAAAACCTATTTTTCTTATATTATTCGTATACGCAGATGTCTTGACAGTTTTTTTTTATTACCGAGTGAAAAAAAGTATATTATTTAAGGTATATTGATGATTTCAGGGTAATCATTACAAACATTGTGGCGCATTTTAAACAGTTTAAATTTATAACAAATGTGCTTATTTACGTGTGACAAATGTACGAATAAAACTAAAGATCTTGAATAAACATCGCATGATTACAAGAAAATCGAAACTCACATGTTCACTAAATTATTTTCATTATTAAGAAAAAAAAACATTTCGTATTTCTAATGTAACATGTAAACATATAATGTAACGTAGAGAAAGTAATTGTTCGCTTAAAAGAATCTTATTTTTGGCGAATCTCAAATTCACATTAGCTAATTGGATGACTTTGCTTTCCCAAACTATTCTTAATCTGGGTTGATTGTGTTTCTCTTATGAGCCAATTATAGATTACAGTCCACTCGGCACTCGCTTTAACGAATTTTGATTTAACGAATTTCTTAATATAACGAACCTACCATATAAAAAAATACGACCTGCATTTCATTATCTCGTTGATCCAACCCAATAATACCGCTATTATAAATAAGGTAATTTAAAAAATTTTAAGGACTGATCAAAAGACCGATCTGGTCCAGTCCAGTCCTGGCTACCGGATTGGACTGGACCGGACCAATTCAACCCTAGTCATAACTTGATATAACAATCAATTTTGGTCCATAACGAACTTTTTTCTTAAATCAAAACCTTCTATAATTAATTTTATAAATTTCGTGATAGTACATTCATACTTATTTATTCGATACCATCCTAATTCCGGCCAGAATTAATTAGTCTCACACAATAACATTGTATTGATATTATAAAGTGGTAAAATATGATTTTATATATATTTTTATATATACCAAATTGGGAATTGCTAACCGTCGCCTAGGTTTTTTTTTCCGAATATGTCACATGATGTATATGTAATATATAATATAATTAGTTTGCGAACGCTTGGGCCTTTAATTTTTCATCGTTAACGATATAGTATATACCACGTATAAAAACGCGTTAGTACTAATGATCATATGATATATCACGATATCACATATGCATACTAGAAGGATTATATATGCAGCTGTGAGTACGAGTATGTGAATTGAATATCATGTACTCATGTACTCACGTGTACTCACATGTATTCTCAAATAAATTATTTTTTTAAACCACACTACTTCATTTTTACATTCCTGAAGAGCTTATATATTAAAGTTTTATTTTTACCATATTACAATATGAAATAATTTATTTATCGCACGTGCGATGCAAATTTTTATGTTTATCATTGCCATTTTAAGGGGGGTGGCGATGTATAAGCAGGTTGATCAACATAAATAATTTACAAAAAAGGAAAGTGGCGATGCATCGCACGTGCGATGAATAAATTTACTCTTACAATATAACGTATGAAACACGAAATTAATAAAACATAACCAACTGTACATATAAAAGAAAAAATTGCATTTTTTTTTTATTGGAAAGAAATTGGATAGTTTGTAATCAAACTCCTCTAAAATACATGTTATAAAAAAAAATGAATACAAATGAAATAAAAAGGGCGAATTCCTATAAAAAATGTTAGACAGATTATTGTTTTCTACTTTTTTTTAGTGATTGGTAGAAGATGAATTGTTTTGTCTTATCTACTAACATCCTTACAGGATGTGTAAAATAATAAAAAAGCGATCATAGTTATATAAATATTGTTAATTCTAGTAAACAACCTATATGTCTCTTTAAAATAATTTTTTAATTATCAGTAATTAACGTCACAGCTTATCTGTTATATTTTATTTAGTTTAGATACATAACAATTTAATTTCCACTAAAATGACTAAATCATAAATGTTTCAAAAGCCATAACTTAAAATAAATTCATTATATAATACTTACTAGCCCATAGGCCCGGGCGTTGCCCTGGGTTTGCTGGTTGGTATTAATTTTGGTAATAATTATTTTACTTTCACTTATCCTAAAGTAATGTTTACTATATTCTTAATTTTCTTACCTTAACTCTAACCCACTTACCCTGAGTCACTTACCTAATCCTAACTAACCCTAATCCACTTACCCTAATTCTAATCCTCACCTTAATAATACTTCCTAATAATCTACTAAAGCTAACCCCCTTTTATTTTTTTCATTCCCTTTTCATTTCTTTATACTACTCTTTATTCTTTTCATTTTTATTCCATTTTTACTTCATCTTTTTTGTTCCTTTACATTACTCTTTATTATTTTTATTTTTTTTCCATTTCTACTTCATCTTTTTTATTTCTTTACCTATCCTTTGTTATTTTCATTTTTTTTTCATTCCCACTTCATTTTTTTCATTTTTTTATACTATCCTTTATTCCTTTCATTTTTTCTATTCCCCTTTGCCCCTTTGTTTTTTTCATTTTTTTTCATTCCCATTTGATCTTTTTCGTTTCTTTTATTTCTTTTACTCTCCCTTTGCTACATTTCGTTCCCCTTTACTTCCTTTTCATTTCTTTTATTTCCTTTCACTCTTCCTATTTTTTTCATTTGCCCTCATTCTTTTTTCCCTTTTTCATTTATATATTTCCTTTTCTTTATTATTGTAAGTCTTTTTTCTTATTATTCCTATCAAAAAAGTTAGTATTTTGGATAGAATAAGTTTGTTTTTTTCAATTAATAAATCAAATGTATTAAAAATTAATAAATTGTTATAAACTTTTAGTATAAAAATATTTTAAGTATGTTTATTATATAATTAAAAAATTTATTATTAAAAAATTATTATAATTAAAATTTTATTATTAAAAAAATGCAGTCTGTTTAATCATTAATTTATAATATATATGATTGATGTATAATCAGCAAAGTACATCACCTATAAACCACAAAAATATCATGTGACTTTAAAATTTTATAAGTTAAAAATTAAACAATAAAATACAAATTTAAACTGATAAATTAATAGAATAGCATATGCTGAACATTTCTATCAGTTTACTTTTTAAGAATTAATATAAAAATTTAATTTTATTAAATCTGAAAGTTTAAGAATAAATCATATAATCTATATGGAAACTGGAAAAGGTGATTAGGATAAATGTTACATGAATTTCATATGAAAATGGCATTTTTTTTGATTAATTTCTTCACATAACAACAATGACTTGTCCATCTAAGAGAAAAACTAGAGGAAAAAAGCAGATACAAGACAATAATGGGAAGTTTACAAAATGACTAAGGCTATCTGATGGATATGATAAATTAGGTGATGAATAGAATGATGAAAATGACAGTGAATGGAATGAAGAGTTTAGTTTATTAAATGAAAAAGAAGCTTTTGAAGATAAATCTCTTGAGTTAACCTGGTTAGATAACACTCACTTGGAAAAAAAAAATACAGACCATATCTTACTAGAAAAATAAAAAAATCAACATATTTTGATAAATATAGACCAAGTGACTCCTTTACAAAAGCTGCAAAAGGAACCATAAAAATATCAACTTTCATGAATAATAAACTAATACCAGATGATTTTGAAGACATTCTTGATGATATAGATGAGGAAGAATGAAATCAACTTGATGTGAGTGAAAGAATCGAAAATTTAAAAACTAATCTTAAAGAAAAGCAGAAGATTTTAATAGCTGCTGAATTATACATGCTGCCCAAATTATTTTAGGATGCCATAATTATATATAATTTGGAATGCCATAATTCATTTAGTTTATATATAATTTACTATGTAAAGTGCTAAAATAATTTGGGATGCCATAATTGAATTTGGAATTTTACTTATAATTATGGCAGCTCAAAATAATTTAGATAGCATGTATATGCTGAATATAAGGGGCATACCAGAAATCAGCTGATTTGAAAGGGGGTAGGGAAAGTCAAACTTCCTAGGGGTGTGGGGGGGTCCAACTGGTTGGTTACACAATATAATTTCGTATTACCAAACTGTCCCACTACCGTCACCCCTGAATTTTATTATTTTAATATATCCAAGACAACATTCCAAGCCTAAAACTTTTGACGCACAACGTTTCTAAAAGCCGATGTTCGAGAGTAGATTAGTGTTGGTAAGAGTCATATATTGGCAAATTTTCATGACTATTAGAGCGTTATTGGGTTTCTCAGGTCAAAGTTTTAATATAGCTTATTAGAAAAACTATTATTTCGAAATATGTATTAAAAAAATTTTTTTAAAAAACAATGAAAAATATGTTTTTAACAATAAATATCACTTTTATATTAAAATTTTATTAAATACATTATCTATTATTAGTGAAAACTGCATACAACTATTTATTGTAGACATTTACTATAGACAATATTTTTTTCAGTTTTTTTTTAAAAAAAAAAGGTTTAAAAGTTATTATAAATTAAAAGTCTATATAAATAACGTTTTCTTGTAATAAATAAACTTGTTTTACTTGTTTTAGACTTCTAAATATTGATTTATTCATCATAAATACTAAAATAAAACAGCCGATGTTGTTTTTTTCTTCTCAGAGAAAGTCCAAACATTATTTAAAGTACTTGGACGCGACAAAACAGATGTAAAGATGATCACGTTTCAAGGATGACATAATTGGGTGGCTGGTTTTTTTAATTGCAGGGGTATTTTGTTCACCGATCATCGTAATTTACTAATAACGTATATGAATTTATATGGAGGACAGTTTTGATTTATTAGACTTATTGTATATTATATTGTGTAACCAACCAGTTGGACCCCCCCACACCCCTAGAAACTTCAGATCGTTTATATATCATGTGACATTTACTGTATATACACTAACCTCCCAAAAGTATCCGGTCAACCAATAAAGATTATATTTTATTAATAATAATTAATATTTAGTTGGCCATCCATTGTTTTTAATGCATGCTTCAATTCGGCGTAGCATGCTCTCAATTAAATTAATATAAGTTTCTTGCAATGCTTCTTCAAGTTCATGAAAATTCTTTGGATGTACAGATCATTTTCGAAGTCTTCGTTCAAGTTCATGCCACAAATTTTCAATAGGATTAAGGTCCGAAGATTGGGAAGGCCAATCTGGAAGAACCTTAATCTTTTTCTATGCAATCCAATTTTTAACATCTCTTGCAGTATGAACTGGAGCATTATCATTCTAAAATGCATAGCGTTGTCTGTAATGTTTTGATCGAATGAATGGCAATAAATGTTTGTTTAAAATATCAATATAATCTAATCTATTCATTTTACCATCTACTTTTACCAATGGCCCCAGTCCTTTCCCTGAAAAACATCCCCACACCATAACACCACCACCACCATGTTTAACTGTAGAGTTAAATTTTCAATATTGTATCGGGTTCTATTTTTTCGTCAAACACGGCTAGGACCATCATTTTGAAAAAAAGTAAATCTGGATTCGTCACTCCAGATGATAGTTTTCCATTGTTGCACAGACCAACTTTGTCACTCTATGCACCATGATAATCGGTTTTCACGTTGAGATTCTGTAAGAAGTGGTTTTGGTGCAGCAACCCGTGAATAAATTTGCATTTGATGAAGGTTTTTACGAATAGTTTTAGTTGAAACCTTTTTATCTTGTGAACTATGAAATTTCTGCTTAATTTCATCAAGAGAAAGTTTATTACTCTTTTTAATAATTTTCAAAAGTTTATAATGATCATTATTATCCATGGAACATAGTCTTCCAGTTCTTTTAGCTGTTAATCCAGTATTAAAATTTTTGTATTGAACAATTGTGTCTGTAATGATACTTTTTGGAAATTTTAGGACACGACTGATAGCTTCATAAGTTCTTCCTCCTTTCCAAAGGCCAATAATTTGTCCACGCTCAAATTCACTCAATTCACGAGTTTTTCCCATTTTAAAAGTAGCCAAATGGCGCAGTAACAAAAAAAAGCAAAGATCGGCATTGGCAAAATTGAGGCGTTATTATTTGTTTTATTGCCAAATCTGGTACAAGCATCATAACACAATAAAAATACATCCATTTTAATCGTCAGAACCAGGGGAATCATTTTTTTAAAAAAAATTATAGTTTATAAGTTCAATCTTGAGAAAATCAAGTTGAGCTTGGCTGGATACTTTTGGGAGGATAGTGTATCTAAATATAAATATAAGTAATTTAATTATTTTTATATATAATTACTATAATGCAATTTTAACTTGACCTCTAGTGATTTAATTTTAATAACATTTTTTTAACTTATAGCTCTCATTTAGCTCTACAAATCTAGATTTACAAAACAAAAAAAAGTTTGTTTAAATTGAATTAATAGAAACCAAGATAATTGTATTTACATTATAATAATTATTATAATGCAATTATCTTGACTTCTAGTGATCCAATTTTAACAAACTTTTTTTTGTTTATAGCTCTCATTCAATTCTACAAATATAGCTTTACAAAACAAAAAAAAGTTTGTTCAAATTGAATCACTAGAAGCCAAGATAATTGTATTTACATTATAATAATTATTATAATGCAATTATCTTGACTTCTAGTGATCCAATTTTAATAAACTTTTTTTTGTTTTATAGCTCTCATTCAATTCTACAAATATAGCTTTATAAACCAAAAGAAGTTTGTTCAAATTGAATCACTAGAAGCCAAGATAATTGTATTTATAATTTATATTATAATAATAATTATTATAATGCAATTATTTTAACTTCTAGTGATCTAATTTTAATAAACTTTTTTTTAATTTATAGCACTCATTTAGCTTTAAAGTCTAGCTTTACAAAACAAAAAAAAAGTTTGTTCAAATTGAATTACTAGAAGCCAAAATAATTATATAATACTAATTATTATATATAATATTTAATATTTAATAGTAATAATTTTTTTAGCCAATCAGATTTCAATCAGGTGGGGTGGGGGTTAAGGCTATTAATTGAGAGAAATCAGCTGATTTCTGGCACGCCCTTAATAATTTGAACAATAAAATTCCTATCATTTTACTTAGGGCTCTGATCAGTTCAGTATGGTTTTTGCTAAAACTAAGACTACCAGTGAACTGAATTGATCAGTATCGGTATTGTTAATTACTGAAACTGATCATCAGTTTTAAATCTAATATAGTAGTTTTATCTAATATTCACGTAACACATGCATGTAGATAATTTTTAAAATTATCACAGTTTACTGTACTAAGACTCTTTAATTTAAGTTTCATTTTAATAGTTTCAGAAAATAATTCTTTCGCAGTTATGTCAGGTTTAACTTATAAGTCATCTTCAGACTTAAGGTAAAAATCATATATAAAATTCTTTACAGATTCTACTATAAAAGGAAATTTTATGTTACATTGTTATAATTTTTTTCCTTTTTAACTAATTAACTAATAGAATTTAAGAAAAAAGTAAGGTAAAAATTATTAGTAAAGAGCCAATTTTCTACAGTGACTTTTATTATAAGTAAGCAAAGTCCTGTTTAAACTAAGTAAAGTAAAAGTAGATATTAACAATCATTTTTAACTTACACAATACATATCATATGTATGATATTAATGTACATACTGGTCCAAATTTGGAAGTTATGCATTTACATACAATTGAATTAACGTTAATTCTAGTATTAAAGACCATGTTAGGTTTCTAACTGGAACCCATTAATAAAAATAAAAATAAAAAATTCTAGTATTAAAGAACCCTGTTAAGAAGCCTCATTCCGAATATAAGTCCCCCCATTTTTGCACGTAATTCCAGCCAAACACATCATAATGTAGGCCAAATTTGTCATAATTCTGGTAGGGATACTTACTTTCTGGTGTGCTTATATTCGGAATTTTATGTCGATATTAACGTACGAACTGGCCGGAGTTAACGTTAACGCTATCACGTGCAAGTGCATAACTCCTAAACTCGAGCCAGTTCGTACGTTAATATCGTACACCCCCACTGTACGTTTAAGGGATAATCAATACGTATATATAAAGCACCGATATTTGAATATTTAACGCGAAGATACGCCTTCCAGGAAAAATGTCAAATTCGCAAAACTCCGACGCGAAACACGTGAGATTTATCGAGTTAAGAGATAATTTGATTTTTTCTACGTTTTATGTTCTGTAGTGAGATTAATGACACTATCGGTAATTGTTAAAGACCTAGCAATGATAATACACCTATAGAGCAAGAATCTGGAAGGTTTCCTCCTACACTCTCAGTTTCCACTACGACGTCTACTAATACTGAACAAAAACATAAGAAAAAAAGTAGTATTTTATTTTTATTGAAGTTTGTTTTCGAATGCATTAATCAGAAATATCTTTTATAGCTCGTGAAGTTCAGTCGCGTTATATGCAATCCGTTTCAAATAACTCTAATGATAAGACTGCAGTGCCAAATAAGAATCAGGACGGTAAAAAGACTGCTGCATCTGATGCATTCGTAGGAGGTAAAAGATTCAACATCAAACCCATCAAAGTTGTACAGAAACAATTGGGCATGTCTCGATTAACTGTTCAGAAGCATAAGGCTGAATCGTTAAAATTTGCACCTACTCAAACGAATTTGAGCAAAAATCACGGTATTTATTATGATATATGAGATTTCTATTACTTCAGATAAAAATATGTACTAATTCATCTTTATACATAGAAGCAGTAAGTCAGGTGAGATTAAAAAAGAAATTTTAAGGTTTGCAATTTTTAAATAAATTTAAAGTCTGATAATTTTTCGAATAAAAGAAGGCCTTACAAGATACCTATATTCCAGCTGAAGTGAGTAACGAAATTGTTTTAAATCAAAACATTTCTGTCACTGATAATTAACTTTTTAATTAGAATCACAATTTAGATGATGAAATTGTAATGCTTAATGCGCGTTTGACGCAATGGTGTTTCATAAATGCTAAAGCAGAACGCGCGTTTGAGTGTCAAAAACGAACTGCAGAGGTAAAGCTCATTTTGAACCAATTTTTGTTTGAGAGTGAAATAATGTTAATAAATTATATTAGGCACAATTATTGGATGCATGGGAATTGCTTGTCGAGAAACAAGAAGAATTGTCAAAGACAAGTAGGAAATTTACATTAGAAAAAGAAATCATATTTTTAAATACGACTTTAAAACTCCAGGTATTTCAGTTTTAAAATTATTTAATAATAATTAAAAAAAATTAATTTTATTCACTTTATACGACAATTTAGCAAAACATATTATTACAAATCAACGAACATTTTGAGATTTTTAAGAAACATTATATTTCATTCGCATCGTCTTTAGCAAGTACTACGACGACAATGCCAATTGCCAATATAATAACTGGAGAATTAGGTATCCTTGCTCGAAAATGAATTCCTTATTTATTGTTTTCTAAAGTCTAGTTCAATTTTTATTTCTACAGGTCAATTGAAGGATGAAATTATCACGTGTTCATTAGTAGCCGAAGACGTTTTACGTAAATGGGACATGGAGTCACCACTGGTAAGAATTATTTGTTCTTTATTTAAGGGAATTTTGTAATTAATTTATACCGTGTCTTTGAAACCAGATACATGATGTCGCTTTCTCCATGTACGTATTATGTACGAACATCAAAGAAGGTATCCAAGAGTTAAATGAGTGCAATGCTCTTCTTCGGGAAATTTCTGAAGCTGAAACTATTGAAGCTAGCTTGAGAATTCAAAAAGTCGAAACTATTTAATGATAACTAATTATGCCATATAGCAATCCTTCTTGTTTTGGCTAATTTAAATTTTCCCTTTTAAATTGTAAATCAAACATTATGTCTTACTATTGTACGTCTTGTAACAGATAGTATAATAATAAAGTAACCCAGATGTTACTTTTATAATTATACTAATTTAAGCTTATTAATTTTATTGTGCCATTTGTTTGGAAAAATGAAATTAAAATTCAACACACACTTCCCGGTCAAAAGTATTCGACCACCCTAAAAATTAAAAAATAATTAAGAAAATAGAATTTTTTAATAAAATTTTACATTTATTTTAAAGTATGAAACATTAAAAACTATTTAAAAGTGTTTTTTTTACTTAAATAGTCTGTATAAATATTTAAGGGTATTGCTAAATCTTTGCACCAGCATCAATGAGCAGAGTTTATGACATTTTAATTCTGCCCAAAATTCTACTTTAATTACCAGTAGTGATGTTTAGCAATACTCAATATTTAAAAAATGTGAAAAATTTTATTTTTAACTAGATTTTTTGACTAAAAAATACCTTGTATTTTTTGTTAAGAAATCTGCCTTTGAAAATTGTTAAGATTTAGTAAAAATAATGGCTTTATACATATAAAATTTGCAAAAATTTATAATAATTTCAACTAGCCCAGTGGTACCAACAAAAATTTTATGATTATGTGACATACTTTTTTAATCATCACAAGCAGCACATCCTACCAGATTTTCACTATTTACAGTCAGACTTCCATAATTACACATCCCTTGGGACTATATGCATAATTTTCAAAATAGTGCATTTAAAGAGGATATGCATTTATAGAGGTAAAATAATTAGAGATTGAAACTGAACCAAAGAGTGGATTTAGAGAAGGTATACATAGTAAATGCAATTATGAAGAGTGCAATTATAGAGGTCTAACTGTATATTTATCTGAAGAACTTAGTTTTTTTTTGAGTAAATAAAATCTTATTTGTCACTCATTATTTGTTACTGTTTATTTCACATGTTCGTATATAATACTGTAATGCCAGCTTTATTGTAAAATTTTTGTTAGTGCTGCTAAGATAGTTAATAATTTCTCAATAACTGCTGATTCAATTTTTTTAATAAATAGCTTTTTATATCTTAAATTTAAAAATAATGTATATTTTTGGTTGAATATTTTCTACTGAAAAGTATATATAAAAAATCATTTTTGAATTTTTTAAAATTAAATTTATAGTTTTTCTTTAATTAATAAGTATAAAAATCATATTTAGACACTATTTAGACTGATATTAAAGAATGTATTTTCATTTTTTAATCTATTAAAATTCCTTCTGGTTAAGCTAATTATTATATAACTTTTATTTTTCAAATGAATGAAATTATATATAAGTATTTATAAGAAATTTATATTTCAATATAAGATCATGCTGGGTTGCTAGTATTCCTTCCTATATTGGATATTTCAAACTATATTTAAATAAAACTTTTAGACCTAAAAGTGTAACTTGTAACTTATTTTAGAGATATTTAAGAGTTTTCAATTAAAGCAAATATTTTTTAAGAAAAATTTAAAATTATAAATAAAATATTAATTTATTATTTATTTTTCTTGCAATTTTTAGTAATATAAATATTATTGAAAAATTCTTTTTTATTAGCTTATTAGAAAACTTATTATATATTTTATATACTACGGTATTTTACTGAAGATATTCTTTAATTAAAAAAAGTATTAAACAATTAATAAAAATATTTTATTTTACAAAAATACAGTAATATTTTTAATGATTTTTGTAATATTTTATTTTATTTTATTTTTTTATCACATTATTTTCTTGTAATAAACTAATTTGTTATCAAAATTTTATTTTAAAAATTCATAACTTTTTGTACAATGATCAAATACAAAATTAAAGAATTTATTTTTGTTCATTTTACGGAAAATGGGATCCAAATGTTTAACATTTGGTTTGTTCAGAATCAGATTTTATTATATAAATAATATTTTATTAGTATATTAAACACTAATATACTCTTTATTTATTTATTTTTATATAAAAGTAATTTTTAATTATATATTAATTAACTCACTGGGTACATCCACAGAAAAATTTTATGTTTACGTAGGGTAAAGTTAAAAAAAAATAAAAAAAATTATATATTAATTATATTATACAGTAATAATTTATTATATTAATTATTATATCCCGATTTTACTTTTAATATTTAAGAAACTAAATAATAATATTAAAACAAAATTGGCGGGCCAAAATTACACTTCTTCCATTATACCAACATCTTATTCCTTTTTGTAGGTTTTAGATGTTAATTTTAATGATAATTTTTAGGACAGGTTTTTCTTTGTTTTATTTTTTATATCAGGGTGGGTTGCATCTGGGCTGGCCTTGTGCTAGGTAGGAGTGTATCTTGGTCCTTTATTTCCAGTGTATTATGTATGCTTGTGTAAATCCTTTGTACAAGACGCGTTTTTTACCTATCTAATAAGGCAAAATACTAGATAATTAATGTAAATTTAATATAATATAAATTAATAAAATATTAGTTATAATAATATATATTAAATAATGAAATGATAATTGCAAGTAAAAAATGCGCAGTAAAAATTAAACGTACATTTTAAAAATTCGATATACATATATATATATAATGTGTGGATTAGTTTAAAAATAATCTATCTATAAATTATTATTTTTGGTAATAAATTTAAAACTATAATTATATTCCTGAAAACAAGGACTTTTTATACTGTGTAAAAAACACCTGCGGATAATCTACCGATTATCTGTTTAATTCCGCTTCTGCATTGATATTGTATATCATACATTAGAGAAACAAAGGAAAATTCAGACAAGACAGGAGTGAATACTGGAATAGCACAGGTAACTACAGAAAAATTGAGAATTAAACAGTTTTTATTGTTTCCGAAAATTTGAATTGTGCATAATGAGATGCACTGAACGCCTTTACTTTATTATACAGAAGATACAAGATCAATATATCCCAAAGTCATGGGACAACGAGAGATTTACAAATTTAGATACCTTTTAGGAAGAATGGTGGCGTGATTATAGACCACCAATTTCTTAATCTAGCATGATTGAAACTTTCTTGGTTTGACGTAAATTCCCTAATTTTAAAAACTTTCACGATATTTTCACGGTCTTATTGCTATACTTTATATTGTCCCGCAAATCTTCTCTCAAATTTCTTTGCAGTTCCCTCCCCCTTCCCCACTTTCTTATACAAATTATCCCCACAAATTCCACTTTGTAGTATCCTTTGATTTTATCTTTAAATTCTCCTTTTTTCAATTTTTCCCATAAATTTTTTTTTTCAGTCTTATGTCTCCAATTTTTGATAATCCTTTTAAAAATCCGTCTTCAAAATATCTTGTGCCCCTCATGCGATTCTTAAACTTACCAACAAAAACTACTACTTCTTCACTTTCTTCTACAACAGGAAATGGAAAACCACCTACTAAAACGAACGATTGTATTTATGCAAAGATACTTGTAAAACTTACTCAGGAATTTGGTGACGACTTACTTGGGTTATTTGCCTACGGCTCCAGAATTTACGGGAATGCTTGTCCACATAGGTAATGTTTAAATTTTTTTTTTTTATATTTTACCTTTTGAATTACCTCTTTTAAAATTCATATTCTAATACCGATTCTCGATTTTTTTCTTTGACACTCAATTCATATACCATAGTGACGTAGACGTTGACGTTTTTATTAAATCTCAAAGAAAATGTCGGCGGAATATCTTTATCGATGGATTGGAGGTAATTATGATAAAAAATATATATTTATATTATTTTATATAATATTATTTATTTTAAATGATAATTTTAATTCATTACATTTATTCGATTAAAAGGTTGAAATGTTTATTCACCCACCAGAACATGTTTTCCACATCTTGACATATGATTCATCCGGTATTATTTTGCGATGTTATACATTTGGCCGTATTATTTATGACCCAAATAATATAATTCCACAATTACAAAAATTGGCTAAACTTCGCTGGGAGGCAGGACCACCAGCCCTTGAACCAAAGGACAATTGGCGACCACGTTATGAAATCGCAGATTTATTACGTGATTTGGAAGATAGTGACTTTGTACGTGATGAAGCTACAGCACATTTCCTATTGGTAAAACTAGTAGAACGACTGGCGCGCATTCAAGAACGCTTATGTCGTCGTTGGCCTGAAAAATTGAAACGTTGTATTGAAGGTTGGGAAAGTTGGGATTCATTTGGAGGAAGATTGGCTAAGCGTGCACTAAATTCAAATTTAAAATGGGCCGAAAGATTAAGGTGTGCGAGAGATTTAGCAAAATATGTTCTTGAACCAATTGGGGGTGTCATGCCAATTGAATGGAAAATGGATTGGGAGGAAATACCTCCTGCGGAAGAATCATTTAGAAAATTAATAATACCAAAAATAGAAGTTTTCATATCCTCATAAAATAACAAAGAGAGAGATGTGGGGCATGTACAGCAAAGTTATACAAATTTTAATTTTGGCATCTGTTATTTACACGGAATTGATTTCTTTGTATCTTTATTATTATTATCATTTATTTACCTTTCTCTCTCTCTCAATATAGACAAATAATTTTATTTATTAATTAATATATTTTATTTCTCCATTTTTCCACCTCCTTTCCACATTTTCCCCACATTTTTCTTATTCAATACTTCACGCAAAAGCTAAAGTTGCATAGAACAATATATATATAAATATATATGTATATTTATTTGTATAGAATATATAATTGATTTTTTTTTTATGCTGCATAATTAATAAAATTAAAACATTTTGAAACAAATTTCAATTTTTTAAAATTTTTTCCTCATTGATTAACAGAGAAATTGGTGGGGTGAAAGGAAATCATTTACTAAACCAAATTTAGTATGATTAGAATGATCTCATGAGATTTAAATTGTTACCAATTTTATAAACTAATCGTCAATACGTAACCCCACACTTTCTTTCCGGTATAGACCCGAATTCTGATTTAAACTATATTTATAGCATGAATAAATTCATAAATGAATAAATAATGCATGACCCGCTTACAAAATTAAAAATACAATAAATATATTGTCAGACCGATCGTTATCAACGGCAAACCCAAATATTACAACGACGCTTTATATAGCAAATTGAATATAATGGTTTATAAAACATCATTGTTAATTATTAAAAAAAAATGTACTTTGTAGATTAATTGCTTTTGGTATCACAAAGTGCAACTTTATTAGTTAAATCTTTCGTTTCCGTTTTTATTTGTTATTAGAATTAAAGGAATTAACTCTTTTTTTTTTTAAACAGCTTTTAAAATTCTTTAATTCTCTGCTTTATATTATAAATAAAACTATTCATGAATTTCAAATTTATTCATTATTAAACAATAATAATAAAAAAAAAGAAATAAAATTACCAGGTTTATATTAGAGTTTGGATCCGTTGTCCGTTTTGTAAAATTGTAATTTACGGTTAAGAATAAATGGGTTTTTTGCTAGGAAAATGACCTTCTGAGACTAGATTTTAGATTTTAAGTAAATGGTAATTGAAAATTCTATCAAAAATTAAGACCAATAAAATTTGTTTCTAAATTTATCTACATCACGTGATAATGATCGGCTATGTAGATCATTTCCATTTTTGGCGATACCCGTTCCACAAAAAATAATTTCCTGAAAATAAAATTAACCTTTTTGGAAATTTGTGTAACATTTTCTACATAAAAGGAAATGATCTGCAAAAAAAATTTTGGCCGGAGTTATAAATTTGGCCCGAATTATAATATCCACTAGTGTAGGCCAAAACGGAATTGTTATTATCAAATCACATGACACTATTTTTTACCTGATACGAATTTTGTTAGGAAAATGACCTTCTGAGATATTGTTACACAAGTTACACAAAATTTGTATATTTAATTTATTAACCAATCAGAAAATGCAATATCACATCATTGTACAAAAAATT